TATGTGTTATTAACTAACATGTTGCTATCGTTGGATAGGTAAATTTTTAAGGAACAATGCTAAAATATTATACAGGATGTTGCATTTGAAAAAAATTGATTAATTTGAAGTTAAAATTGGCCATATTGTAATGTGAGCCATTTCATTATTCAGTCATGCTCTAATACTCCAAGTCCCTCTCTGTATTATTTGGCCTTTGAGGCTCAACTTGTGCGATTATTATACATAATTAAACCCCTTAAGACCAAACCTATGTGACGACTATGGTGGAGACACTTTCGCGAACATTCCAGAAAGAACGAGATAATATTTCTAGTGTATTGGAGAGAATATGTGAACTTACTAGAACGTCCGCTAATTTTTTAAGTTTGTATATAAATATTGGTGGATGAGCCATCAGAATCAGTAGTTATATGGACAGTGAAGATAAATAGTAATTAGTAGATAGACAGTGGTGAATCTAAATAGTGATAAGTTTAAAGACATTAGAAATATATATACATTAGAATAGTTGTGTTATAAAATAAATAATTGTTTAAATAAATTATTAATAAATAAACTGTTGTTTGAAAATAAACAAACATCACAATATTTAAGACATGTTTCAAAACACTATGTATAAAATATTCCAGTTCTATCATTACTATTCGTTAGCATACTATCTTATAAGTCTGTATTTTACACAATTATTAAATCGTTGTAAACTTATCTGAATTATGAGTTTAATTTTGGGATCTGCATAATTCTCTACTTTCATAAAAAAAAAACTAATTGCTTGGCAAACCTGTAATATTTAAACTTAAAATTATCCGATTGAATACAGTATCACCAAACCAATCTAAAATTTAAATATATCCATTTTTATTTGCCAGGCAAAAACGCGTCACTCTGTATATCCAAAAACATTTTTAAAATACCTATTTTTTAAATCCATATAACTTTTTGTACTTGAAATTTGTTTATAACACAAATTGAGGTATTTAACAATTACGCACTAATAGGAGTAATAGGACACCCTGTATAAGAGTGTGTAAACGTTTTCATTCCTGACACCAATTATTCCTGTAACATTACCAAACGTAGCCTCAGTTTTTCCAGTTATAAAATGTTTCTACCCTCGACTTCTTTGAAAAAAACAAACTTGAGAAAGTAAGTCTACCATCGACTTAATAAAAGAAATAAGGATAGCAAAGACAAAAAAATGGTCCCTTGCAAATGGCCCTTATTTTTTGTTCAAATGGACGAACTTTTGTCGCCTGAACTCTTCTGCTTATACGTGGAGAGCAGGACCGGAACGATCAAAATTCTGGTTCGATTATTCGAGATCGTCTGTTTAGTAGCCGAAAATTGGACGACAATTCAAGTTAGCGACATTAATTTTGTGTCAAGAATAACAACTTTGCCCTTATTCGATCATTTCGCATTAGTTTTGCTCTAAAAAAGTGTTTAGTTGTTTCAATCTAGTAATTTCAATTTGTTTTCTAATTTCCCTCTTATCATTCTATCTATAATTTTTAAAATATTTTGTTCTCTTTAAATTCTTATTATTATTTTATACTATAATGAAATTGATATTTAAAAAAAAAACAAACAAGAATAACATTTTCGCATATACCCACTATAAAAATTTGGTAAATCCTGCTATACTCGAAATTTGGAAGTGTCTGACCAACAAATGTTTGGTTTTCTTAAAAATAGTTTAACTTTATTGCAAAGTGTTCATAACTGATCAAAATAAAGCCATTTATAATTAAAGATGTATCTGAGACCATATGTTTCGTTTTATGCAATATGGCATAATGATATTGATGCATATTGACTAGCTCAATAGAATCTATTTTGTAATCCACTGTTTTATACATAAATATTAGAGAAAGCATCACCTCTTGTTGAAGTAGATTGCACCATATTAATCATAAAATGATTGTTTAACAATACTACTAGTAGGATATAAAGCAATTTCGTTCAATTGTTGAGAGTGAATAATGTAAACAGGATTCCAAATTATCTTGCCATATTTTAGCTTGGCCCTTATAAATGCTCTGTCATGTACGGATTGGACTGGAAAATTCTTAAGATTGCCCTCATATATTAAACATTTCACTTCATTATTCAATACAATATCATTGATAACTAATATAAAAAAGGCCTTAATCAGAGCCTTAAAATATTCCCGATGTTTGTCAAGAGGTA